GTTATTATTCATAGGTCATGTTTATTTTACCTTCTCAGCTTAGTTTCCTCTCCCTGATTAGTTAATTGATTTCACTAGGCTCTCTCCTCACGCGCCTGCAGCTCATTTCCCATTCATCCCGCCCCTGTGTATATAACCTTGTCTGCGTCTCTCTGTGTTGTTGGTCCATTGTTTGTGTCAGCCTCGTCTCATCCCCCACTCTAGGTTTTAGTATCTCTCTAGGTCTCTTGTGTTCTTGGATTTCTCCAGGTTTTGATATTAGGATTTTTTGGACTTTGGTTTTTGGCTCCCTGCCTCCTTTGGATTTACTCCTTAATAAAGGATTTTACGTTTTTTCCACCTCCTGCCTCATGTCTCTGGTTCTGCATCTTGGGTCCTAACCTTCCTCCAAACCCACATCCCGACAGTTTTCATATGTTTATATTTTAAAGACCTACTTGTCCATGAGAAAAGTCGCCAACTATGCATCAACCGAGGTACATCCTTAAACACTCGAGCACGCTCTGTGATTGACATCTGTACGTAAGCAGCAGTCTAACGCTATTGGTTAGTTCTGACCGGTGCTCATTTCATATTACATTGAGCTCTATGGGACAGGGGTGGGCTGGGGAAAATAAAATAAACATATTTCCTAGATTATATCACAGTACATTTCTGATAAATCATACATAATTCCTGAAAGGGGAAAACTCCAGACAGCAGCTTTAAATGTGAATATCTGAACCTTTTCCATGATATAACTTTATTTAACAAAGTGCAAGTATACATCAAGAGAACACAAGAAGTATACATACAGAAGAATGCATTTAACAGAACATTCAGCCAGGGGGTGACACACCCTGTCCTGTCTCCCCGTTTTGGTTCAGGCTTGTGTCTCATTAATTGCTCCCACCTGCCTCTCGTTTCCCAATCACCTTAGCTCCCAGCCCTCGTGTATTTAAGCCCCTTCTGTTCTGTGTCTTGTGTCGGTCCATTGTTTTAGTGTCCTGCGGGTCCCTCATTAAAGTACATGATAAAACGTCCTACCTGTCTGCCTGTCTTCCTCCCTGCGTGTGGATCCTCGCCTCACCTCCGCTCACCTCGCCCACATGCCGTGACAGAATGGACCGACTCATTGAAGGATCCAGCGGGGAGATTCTCCCGTGGGAGTACCTGCTCCGGTGGCTCGCCCCGAGCCACCACCCGGCGTCTCCAGCTCCAGCTCCGCCTTGTCGCAGACAACGGCACCGACCTGCACCCTCAGCTGTCCTGTCCACCCTCCCAGCGCCTGATGAAAGACCGGATCGAGAGACGCTCTCGGATCACTTCAGTTACGTGGGCACCCGTCTGGCTGTGTGCTCCCCCGGGGTTGGTCCACAGCGTGGGGAGAGACGCCGGGCTCCACCGCAGTCCTGTGTTCCGGGACGGAGCTGTGAGCTCTCCGCTGCCCCTGCTTGGCGCAGCAGTTTGGACATGCCCCCGGCCAGACCAGCAGTTCCATCTCCGGCCCAATCGGTGCCTCCGTCATCTAGAGGCGGAGGAGCGTTGGCCACAGCCCAGCTGACAGAGCTCGTCAGTCTCCAGGCTGAGCTTGGCCGGTTCCGCCAGCTCATCAGCTTCCAGGAATCCCGCCTGGACGCTCTATCCTCCTCGGGCCGCCGGGAGAGGGTCTCGGTCCAGCCAGCGGCTCCCTCATCTCAGGGCCAGAGGAGCGAGCCCGGGGTCCACCCAGCGGAGCGCGCCGGTCTCCGGGCTGAGCTGGCCCAGCTCCATCGGATGCTCAGCCTCAAGTAGTTTCAGGTGGACGGTCTGTCCTCCCTGCTCTCACAGTTTCCAGCACCACCAGTTCTGTCGCAGCCTGTTCCAGCGGCGGCCCCGGTGGTCGCACCGCATCTGGCCCAGCCTGTCCAGGCAGCCCCTCCCGCAGCAGCTCTGCCTCCGACCCAGAAGCAGACGGTACCGGTCCGGAAGCAGGCGGTCCGGACCCGGAAGCAGACGGTTCCGGCCCAGAAGCAGACGGGTCGGGCCCAGAACAGATGGGTCGGGCCCAGAAGCAGATAATTCCGGTTCCGGCCCAGAAGCAGATGGTTCTGGCCTAGAAGCAGACGGTTCTGGTCCCGAAGCAGACGGTCCAGACGTCGACGGTTCGGAAGTCGATGGTGGTCGAAGCCTCTTCCAGTCCAAGGGTCGACGCCTCTTCCGGTCCAAGTGTCGACGCCTCTTCCAGAAAGGCCAGGGGTCCTGTATGCCTCCAGACAGTTATCAAATAGCATGTTGCCTGGATTAGCATTAGCTTCATTAGCATCCTCAGCCGTTAGCTTGGGTCTGAGGGCTTCCAGCCCTCTTTTCGCTCCATTTAGGTTTGGCATTCTGCTGCTTAACTCTCTGAGACTGTTGTAACTTTACTTTTTCTGGATGCTCTTTAACTTGATAAGCATAAAGTCAAGGTTTTACTGTGTTTTATGAACTGACTGTGCAGAACTCGGTAGAGAGCGTCTACTCATTCTGCCATCTTGGTTCGCCCCCCGGAGCGGACCTCTTACCGGATTTTAGATGCCCTGACATTTATAATTTATAAAACTGATTAAACAAAAACACAAATAACATAGATTTACATGTAAGAACTTTAAATAGAGTGCTGTGCTGTTTGAATGTATAAACTGAACGCCAAGAGAAATCACTAGTCTGATTTTTTTCCGTGAATAAAATAAATATGTCAGGCAGGAGCGTCTCAGGATCTGTCTGAGATCTGTCTCGGTGAGACAGATAATATCAATCCAAAGTGCTTTTTATGTGTGATCTGACAATTGATCATTCATTGCTTGATAATTAAATACAGCTTAGCCGGTTAATTGCTGTGATCATAAGAAACGTAAATGGCAGCACACAGAAACACGAGGCAACGTTTTACGTGATGTTTACTTGTTGCTATGAGTAATAAGACAGAAAAAGCCACGCCAAAATAAGTTTAGGAAGCCCACTAACAATCATAATAAAACATTTAAAATAAATACCGTATACAGTTGAGGAAACGTTGGTTTAAGTACCTGATATGAAGTGGTCGCTGCATACGCGAAAACCTTTACTCTCGGGATCCCACAGTTTCATTTTAGCCCGGTCACTAGTAAGTTTTATTGCAATGATCCAACGTTTGCGGCGTTCTGGATCTTGGGGAATCCTGTAGAAGGCTCTTCCCTTATCTCGTCCGCATCTGTTCTGGCATCCTGGGGCACAACAGGAATCTACCATATTTCCTGTTTGATTGAGTTTTCTGACAATAACAAATAGCCTAGCTGCGGGCTACTGCCTGCCAAGATGGCGCCATTTCAGATTGAACTGTTGCATGCCGGGAGAAGTTACGTCAATTCCCGGAGCTCTGTTGGAGATGCTGTAGTGGCTGATCACCATCTTGGATGGGTCTCCATTTGCCCCTAGTGCACTTATTCTATGGAGGAAGGTGCTTACCCAGCTAAAAACACATTTTACAATGGTTTTTCACAAAATCAGACATGTGGTATGGCATCATAGTTAAATTGTGAATATAATTAGAAAAATAAATGAAAAATAAAGTTTATATAAAATCCCTACAAGTAGGCTAGAAAAGTCTCACATGACTTTTTCATTAGTGCACTGGCTATTGTAACTGTAGGCTGCACAATGGGTATAGTTGCTCACTTTGTGTTGACTCCAGTTGGGTTTGGAGAGTGAAAAGACCCACCCAATATGGTGGCAATGCTGTTACGCTCTCCAGCGCCTAATGGGGTGTCTATAGGCTGTGTCTCAATTCAGGGTCTGCACTCATGTCTATGATGCAGACACCTCAGGCAGCTTTGTAAACCAACCTAGCTTGAATGCTAACTCGACCTGCATTGAATTAATACCAGTCTGTATCCTTGTATCCTTCAAACAAATGTGGAAAGGGAGTTAGAGAAAAGGGATTTGCCTTTGTTTTTTTGGAGCAAAGTGATTAGCTTAGCTTTCAACCATGAGTGTTTCTCAATGCCAAGAAACCTTGCCTTGATGTCTTGGTCCCGCCTTGGTTGCCTAGGAGATACGTCATCAGGAACCGCCAAGGCGTGTTCCAATGTTCATGTTCTACCGATGTATCTGTTCTCTGTTTAGCTAGCTGAGCAAGGATACACAGTTGGCACCTTGTACCCTGGCCTTGGTCAAAAATTTCCCAGAAAACAGTGCAGTGTTTTCAAAAGGATGGCGGATCAGAAGCTGGCAGTTACTTCGGGGCAAATTTCAAGTTTAAATGTAAGCCAACTAATTGTAGCTGTCGGGCTGATATCTTTTTTTTTATATCCAAAGCAGTTAGCTATGGTTAGTTGGTTGCTTAGTAGTTGCAGCTTCGGTAGCTAGCAGGTAGTAACTCGCTTACATATTTGATTTAACCAATATACCGCTATATATGATATAAAAAGTAAAAGTCTTGTTATATATTTATATTGAAACTTAAACATATAAAATACAACGCTATCTCCTGTGTCACGTGACGTTACGTGATGCAAGTCTGTCCCATTTAACCATTTTCTTTGACCAAGGAAAGACAGTGTCCTCATAAGCAAGGCGCCTTGACATTGAGAAACACCCCATGCGTTACATCAGACTGTTGATTTAGTCTATTGTAGCGTTAGCATGTGTGTGCCAGGTTTTTGCAGGTTTTGCTTGGCAGCTCCTGCAGAACCTGATGAAGGCTGAGGAGATAATTCAAAAGTTAGAATCAGGTGTGTCTGAGCAGACATATTTTAAAAAATGATATGTCTCTTAGCACTACAAGGTTAACTGGACATGCGCTGCATGAGGTGTGGCCATCAGCTCTTTCCAGAAAGGGAGAGAGAGTAGGGATTGGAGCTGTGGCCGTTCTAATGCCAAAATCTCCTCCTCTTCTCCTCGATGACATCACACTACGGAACCCAGCTTTAACTTATAATGTCACAAATGTCACTGGTGGTGAAGTATAAAATTTATGTTGTTTGTGTAACAAAATGTGAGTTAACAATCGAGAAGAATCTTACCGTGACAGTGCAATCTCTGCTTTCTGTTTGGAGATGTCTGCTGCCTTCTCAGCAGCCTCCACTGCTCGGTCTACCTTCTCTCTGATCTTACTGGCCCTCAGTGGGATCAGGTTCTTGCGTTTACCGCTCACCAGCACATTCTGCTTGTACTTTCCTTCCTCCTTTGTGCCATCAGGAAAGGTGGTGCATCCATACCCATGTCTCTTGTTACCTGCCCATTCACCTGCGTAATGAAGCCCGTCTGAGCGCCGGCTCACGCCCCAGCCGGCCCTTTGATCACTTCGCCACTCTCCGGCATACATTTCAGTCACAGTGGCATCCACGGGGGCGCCCTGCTCATTCTCACTGTTGTTGGAGTGGATATCAGATGCAGCAGAGCTGACGGTGCTCATGCCAGCCTCACTACAGAAAGAACTCTGCTTGCTGAGCTGACTGGCCAGAGAGCTTTTGGACTCAGAGCGCCGAAGCTTCAGTCCACTGAGGATGGACTGACGGAAGCGACCCTTTCTCTTCCTCTGCCGCTCAGCCTCACTCGGAGCCATCAAAGCAAAACCGCCTCGGCCCACTGGGCTACCCGCCAGCCCGGCAACCACCCCGTCCGTGGGCGTGGTGGCAACCCCGTCCTCTAGCACAGCCGGTGGGCCATGGCTGTGCTCGGAACGCAGGGAGTTTATAGAAGTCCGCAGAGGGAAGAGGATGACGGCTGCCATGCCATAGGGGACGCTCTGCCGTACGCCATAACCATGACGCATCCCTGCCAGCCACTGGCCTTGGTAGGTCCCTGAAAGAAAGCCCAGTTAGAGTTTAAAGTTGGGGCAAAGTGAAAAACAACAGATTGTTACTATCATGAGGACCATAACAGAAGACGTTAAATAATGAAGAAATTTCTAATCTTGCTTTCAGTTCCAGCCATCTGATTCTGTTCAGACAGTACTTTGATTTTGCTGCACCATATATTCTGCTTGTTGAAAGAACAAGAAGCTTTGGGCAGAGCAACCTCTCTGTTCATTCTTATCAAAGCTGCTCTCTTGGTACATAAACTCATCACTCTGCTCCTCATTCTTCAGAAGTCTTTGTGATTCAGTATGATCCTAGGATTTGTGCTCAGCTCTGCACTGCTGTCGGCTTTGTGGGAAACCAGTTGCCCCCCGCTTGTGTAGTCAGAGTTGACGCTTTAAAAACTAAAACTGAATGAAGGATTCACTGTGCTCACTTAAACTATTTGCAGTTTTCTATTGTTATAAGCAGAACAACTGAGAAGACAAGCACAGACGTATACTCAGGAAACATTGCATACTTCAAGATGTTCAAGCACAAAAGCAGATTTAATGGATTTTTATGAGTGTGTGCGTGTGTGTGTGTGTGTGTGTGTGTGTGTGTGTGTGTGTGTGTGTGTGAGAGAGAGAGAGAGAGAGAGAGAGAGAGAGAGAGAGAGAGAGAGAGAGAGAGAGAGAGAGAGAGAGAGAATTAATGAAACTATTTAACCCTCCCACTGTCCTAATGGGTGTGACCCCATGAGGAAAGTTGACCATTGAGCAGGATCGATGGTTTATCCCTTGGGTCCATGTGGCAGAAGTGAGAAGTGAGCACCACCTCACCCCTGCCACGTGGACCTCAAAGAATAAACCATCGATCCTGCTCAATGGTCAACTTTCCTCACGGAGTCACACCCATTAGGACAGTGGGAGGGTTAAACACACTACCAGCACAGCTTAATCAAAGGAGGCTCAAAGTGAATCCAGAATAACATAAATTTCTGTGTCCTTTCTGAAGCAGGTTGATCATCTCAAATGATCTTGATAATCTCACTTCTCAGCAAAGGGAGTGGATTCACTCACGGATTAGCCTCAGAGCAATGAAGATTGGTAACTTAAACATCCACCCAGAGGAACCCCTCCAACCATCCACCAGCAGTTTCAGATGTCTTCTCTCCAGCATGATGGAGCACCGGGTCAGAAGGATAAAACCAGACCCAAATAAGTTAAATGAAAGAATGTCATAGTGAACTTCAGAGGTCTTGAAAAATAAAGTCTGACGCTGCAAATATTTATTGTTTTCATAATAGTAATTGTGAATAAAAGCCTTTAAAACCATATAAATGTTTGTAAATCTACTTGTGTGCAAAATGTTATCTTCCATAAATCTTAAACAAACATGTTCAAGCTTGAATTTCTAACTGTTAGATTTAATGTGAAAACTAACACAATTTGTCTTCATACACTTTGTGTCAGCACCTTGTTACGCCACACCTGTCAGGTGAGATGGGTTATGTTGGCAAAGTGGAAGAGCCCACTAACACAGATTTATACACATTTGTGTACAATATTTAAAGGTGCATTATGCAAGAATGACATCATGTGGTCCCATTGGGCAATCACATTCTCAATGTCGTTTTGTGAGTTTCATGACTGTTGCCAGTTATGAATCAGCACCAGAAGTTTCTATATGACAAGCAAAGAGGAGTCATCCACAGTAAGAAAATGCATTATTATATGTTAGCACTCTGCCGTGTTTTACGGTAGGGAGAAGTAACTACACTTATTACCGTAATAGTTCTCTGGCATTAGAGGAAGAGTGGTTGTTTACCGTCTTTCTGTTATAGTTCAGAACAAGACATCAAAAGGAAACACCACGATTGACTCATTATTCACATGTACATTTGCTGATCCAGTGTGTGTGTGTGTGTTCTTGTACTTACTACTTACTGAGGACCATTTTGACCATTTTCCCTACAAAGTTAGGACATTTTTGTGGTCCTCACTTTTTTAGAAGCTTACCAGTTGGTTTTAGAGGTATGGTGTGAAATAAGGTTAAGTTAAGGTTAGGGTTAGGAACAGATCAGCATTGGTTATGGTTAGGGTATGGGTTAGGCACAGTGGAGTCACAAAAATGAATGGAAGTCAATAGATAGAAAGGCAGCCGTGTGTGTGTGTGTGTGTGCGTGTGTGTGTGTGTTCCTAAGCAGCTGAAGATGTGTTTTCTGATTCTGGGTCAACATTAAACATTCATTCCTTCCATGAGGAGGTCGGCTGCACCTGTGGTAAAACTTTTATGAAAATCTGTCGTGAACATTTTCAGTTCTTGCTCCACATCCACTGAGGATGAATCAAATCAAACTACATGGTTATTTGTGATTTAATTACCATAATTAAAATATTTATGCCTGATTGCATGTATGTATGTTGTCTCTTGTTAAACATGATGTGATGTTTTGTCCTGAAAAGGTTGATCTGAATCCAAAGCAGAAAAATACCACATATTGTTGGAGAACTTTGTAAATGTGAAATTAAATCTTTCATTTGATCACTTATTCTCTGTTTGTTTGTTTTGTTTGTTTTGTTTTTCCTGTAGAATGAGTGTTGTATTCATTTTTCACGACCAGACATCACCTTACTGCGTGTTTTGAGTGATTTCAGGTGAAAAATCTTCACATTTCCTGGCTTACGGAAAATCTATGGAAAATGTGTCATCTCATGCGTGCTGTATTCATCTGTCAGCGGTTTTCCACAAGAACGGACGAGAGGAGCAAAGCCACGAATTGACCCAGTCTTTTTGTTTTCCAGTCTTCTTCTCATTATCTTTGCTTTTAAACTTGCTGTTAATGTAGTATACGAAAACAGGATGCTGCTAAACGCTCCCAGTAAAACTCCGCAGCCTTCCATACAGCTTGTTTTGAGTCCTCGAGCATCCTCTTACCGGCTTCTCTCTGCACCATCCAGGTCCTCGGGGGTGATTATCAAACAGCCTACATTACAACCCCCTGAAGTCAGGGGAAAGGAGAAGATAGGCAGTAGCAGAGGGCCTATCAGAGAGTGGGAGCGTCACAAGCTGGTCTCCAGTGACATGCTAAGCTGCTGTCTCCTCGTTACCATGGAGACCTTTCATCACAAAGGGTGAGAGGCAGAGGGGTGAAGATGTGTTTTTGTTAAGTCTAAACTAGAGAGATAAAAAGTGAAGGAGTTCTAAAATTAGACCAGTCCTGTTTTTGAAGTATGCTTGTTCTTTTTGATAAATCACACACACACACACACACACACACACACACACACACACACACACACACACACACACACACACACACACACACACACACACACACACACACACACACACACACACACACAATTATGCATTAAGATGTCTTGCATGTTTTAAATATGTTTCTTTTATATTATCTTACTGTTTTCTAGTGTTTTTAACTTCTCCTTGTTGTGACTCAAGAATCATTTTGCTTTTTCTTCATCTTGCAGTTCATCATCACCTACAAAAAACTAAACAGAGGAGCATACCTCAGATGATGATGCTTACGTAATGGGATTAAACTGCTTCCTAGTGGCTGACTGCGGAACAAGTTTTAGGCCCCGCCTCCTCCATATAAATCAGAAACATCCAAATGTAGGAGGAAGAGGGGCAACATTTTCAAGTTAAAATATTTACAGGCCACACAAATTTGATTTGCTCCTTAAATAAAAACACAAAAGTGATTTTGGTTTGAAGGTCAGTCATAGTAAGAGAGGTTTTGTGGTCCCATTTAACAGGAAATGTTATTAGCCATTTGATTTTGAAAACAAATAATTTGTCTTGTATTTCACATTTTAAATAAGGTTTTAACTCTTAGACCCTAATAATTATCTCCTGACTAAAAATAAATAAACCTCAGATCAATTTCTTCCACTTGTTGCCCCCTGTTGATCCAGGAACCTCGACCATATTGTACAGGTGAGGGTCATAAAATTAGAACATCATGAAAAAGTTTATTTATTTCAGTAATTGAATTCTAAATGTGAAAATATTAGATTCATTCATTTCACACAGACTGATATATTTCAAATGTTTGTTTGTTTATTTTGATGATTATAACTGACAACTAATGAAAATCCAAAATCCAGTATGTCAGAATATTAGAATATCAATTAAGACTAAAGCAAAAAAGGAATTTTAGAAATGTTGTCCAACTGAAAACTATGAACATGTACATAATTCAGTATTTAGTTGGAGCTCCTTTGGCCTGGATTACTGAGCAATGCAGCGTGGCATGGAGTCCAACAGTCTGTGGCACTGCTCAGGTGTTATGAGAGCCCATGTTGCTCTGATAGTGGCCTTCAGCTCCTCTGAATTGTTGGGTCTGGTTTATTGCATCTCCCTCTTGATAATACCACATAGCTTTTCTATGAGATTAAGGTCAGGTGAGTCTGCTGTCCAATCAAGAACAGAGATACCATGGTCCTTAAACCAGGTACTGGTAGCTTTGGCACAGTGTGCAGGTGCCAATTCCTGTTGGAAAATGAAATCTGTATCTCCATAAAGTTGGTCAGCAGCAGGAAGCATGAAGTGCTCTAAAACCTCCTGGTAGATGGTTCCTTTGACTTTGAAGAACACAATGGACCAACACCAACAGATGACATGGCACCCAAACCATCACTGACTGTGGAAACTTTACACTGGACCTCAAGCAACATGGATTCTGTGCTCCTCCTCCAGACTCTGGGACCTTGATTTCCAAAGAAAATGCAGAATTTACTTTCATCAGAGAACATAACTCAGGACCACTCAGCAGCAGTCCAGTTCTGTTTGTCTTTAGCCTAGGCGAGACACTTCTGATGCTGTCTCTTGTTCAAGAGTAGATTGGTAGATTGACACAAGCAATGCGACAGCAGAAACCATGTCTTGCATACGTCTGTGTGTGGTGGTTCTTGAAGCACTGATGCAAGCTGAATGGGTTTTGTTTCACAATCTTCTCCAGGGTGTGGTCATCTCTATTGCTTCTACACTTTTTACACC